CTGAAAAGTCCCAGTCTCTTTAGCCTCTCTTCATATGGGACCTCTTCCAAACCCTTGATCATTTTAATTGCCTTCCCCTCTCCCAGCCTCTTTCTTCCCCTCTCCCACCTCTTTTTCCCAGTCTCCCCCAGTTTTGTTCAATAAAGAGAGATTCTATTTTTGACCACACGTTTTCTTTATTTTGTACATCGGGAAGGGGGGCTAGGGAAGGGTAAGTGGAAGGAGGTGAGGGAGGAATGGGGTACGCGCCCCCGATGGGGAGGACTGGGCTGGCTCTGCGGGCTTCTCGGGGTGGAAGTTCTCCTGGAGCCTCCCGATTACCTCCTCCCCCCTGGATGGCAGCCTGTGGCAAGTGCAGCCGGGGTGATGGTCGAGTGCTGTGATGTTCCACGTGTGGGCACTCAGGGCACTCCAAGCCAGGACTGCTTTGCAAGCAGGGCACCCTGAGAACTGTCTGTCCGGGGTGGGGGTAGGGTCCCTTTAAGCACAGCCCTCGGCTAGCCTGAGACAGCAGCTCCACGCTCTAAGTCCTCATCTGATGCCCTGCCGGCACTGCTTCCGGCCATCCTTAACCTCTGTTCAGGGTCCACTCTGTGTGGACATGCTAGTTCGAATTAGCAAAACGCTGATTCGAACTAGTTTTTAAGTCTAGTTCGAATTAACTAATTCGAACTAAGTTAGTTCGAATTAGCGCTGTAGTGTAGACATACCCTCCGAGGGTGGTCTTGGAAGTGCCTGTACCATGGAGAGTCCCTCAATCTTACCATCATCTATCTAGGTGAAAGGTCCCAAACCTATGTCACCAGGTGCAGAAAAGGAGGAAATAGCAAGGGAAAGAAGGAACAAAAATAGACCTTATTTAGAAGTGGTTTTTAATAGACTTACTGTGTTCAGCATTTTGAATCTGATTTACATGTTAAGTTGTTTACAAAAACAATCACGCTCTACTTCCTTTGGCTACATGTGGGGATCCAAATCACTTACCATAAATTGTGGCATGTTTTCTGAATGCTAAAAAAGTATACAAAATAATAGCACACTGTAGAAGAATACCTAACTTCCCTTCATCTAGCAATGTAAATAGTTTGAAACTGAGGTGCAGTGTCTTATGGAGCTCAGACTGTAGTGACACTGGCCATATTTCTCTCCCCTCTGCTCCTGCAGGATGAAGAGAAAGTTCTACTCCTGGGAGGAATGCATGAATCTTCGCGAGGTTAAGGTACTTGTTAATTCCAAGAATGGTTACTTTTTCAACCCAGCCTTTCACATTAGAACAGTTACGAGTTACATACACCCATTCTAGCTGCCTTGCTGAGAAGAGCCTCATTAGCAGTCACTGCAGTAAGAGCTGTGGAGTATGTGGTAGCTTTGCCATTTCCTCATTCTTCCTTAATACAATTGCATGCTGTTTCCTAGTCCTGTAAAAAACTATTGATTGTAGCTAGTGGTGAGTAGGCTTCTGCCCACAAACCTGAAGTCAGCAGCAGCTGTCCGAGGGAGAAGATAGCCATCTGAATTCTTACTGTTCCCTTGGCAGGGCTGTGCTGTAAGAACAGGAGCTGGAAGTAGCATTGTAGTATGGATTTTTAAAAGTTTTTTTTATATATATATATTCCCTTCACTACCAACAGCATCTGTGCAGGCACTCCTTTCCATGCAGGTTAGTTCAGTTCCTGGATAGCTAGGCCAGAGACAGCAAACAATTGTGGTGCCAATGTCAGCTAAAGTCTGGGTGCATGCTACGAGGGTGTTAGTATCAGCTGTTGTTCTATAACTTCCAAATGTTGCTACCACTAGCACAGCTCCAATAGCTGTAGTGTCAGTGGGAGCACAAGTGTAGAAAACTTTAATCACTTATATTCTAAACTCACTTAAATCAGGATTTGTCTATGCTGTTCCTATATAGAAAAGGTGGGAAATTTTATAGGGAAAAGACCTAAAGGTGAAGTAAGGACTAAGTTCATTCCAAAATCTGATCTGACGTCTAGCAGTACAGGTGCACAAGTAGAATGGAAGGTCTTCTGGTGAGAAGTTGTGTTGGAAGGAGATGCAGTCAATCAGGGTGTATAAAAATGAGCCAGTTGGGTATGTCTAAGCACAATTAAAAGCCATTACGTTTGCACAAATCAGCTTGCATACACAACTCGGAGCACTTGCAATGGTTTATGTGAATGGCTTTCTTTGGAAATCTAGTCTTTAAATCTGTAGCTACCTGCAACAGTTTAGCTTGTGCAACAAGAGTTTCAAGCTAAGTGAAAAGGAATCCTTGTTTATAACAGTGTATTAGATTCTTTTGTATTTTGTGCTTCCAGTCTTTGAAGAAATTAAACCATGCCAATATAGTAAAATTGAAAGAAGTTATCAGGGAAAATGATCATCTTTACTTTGTATTTGAATACATGAAAGAAAACCTTTACCAACTGATGAAAGAAAGGTATGTAAGTTACATCATAAACACATTTCTGTGCTAAATTAAACTATAAAAATGACTTCATGTTTCTCAGCTGTCTGTGACATTCGTGTCTTTTAAAGGATGCAGTTCTATTTAGCCTCCAAACACCATCTTAAGTTTTAAGTTACAGTACAAAATGTGGGTCTTGCTCAATTTTAGGGCCCAGCTACATCGGGGATTTTTGCATCAATAAAAATACATCTGATGCAAATCCTCATTCCGCACACGTTGCACCAGTGAACAGCAAAGGAAGTCAAACTGATTCAAGCCCCTCTTCATATGGGTGCAGTTCATCTGGATTAGGGATTTTCAATGGTGTAGCAAAACCAGTGTAAAACTCCCTAGTCTGAACTAGCCTTTTGTAGAGGTCATTTAATAAGTTGAGCCTTCATAAAGTAAAGACAGAGGGTCTGCAATTGCCTACACAAACTAGGCATTTATGCACATGGAAATGGATATTTAGACACTAAAACAGGGCTACTTAACTTTGGAAGCCCCGGGGGCAACAATGGTACTTGCAGCATATGCCGAGGGCCGCAACTTAAGTGTGGTTGCATATACAGGCAGTCCCCGACTTACGCGGATCCGATTTACGCGGATCCTGGGCTGCTCCGCTGCCGGCTTCCCCGAGGCTTTGCTCCCCGTCTCCCTGGTCTGCTGGTCTCCAGCAGACCAGGGAGACGGGCAGCAAAGCCGCAGAGGATCCAGGCGGCGGGACCGCGGTGCGTCTCGGTCCGCCGCCCGCGTCTTCCTGGTCTGCTGGGGGGGTGGGGCGCAGCTAGTACGCCCCCCTCAGCAGACTAGGCTTTTCTCCGGACGCCTGGGGCAGAGCAGCTGGGGCGCTGCCGGTTGGTCCCGCAGCGCAGCTCTGGGCGCTACTGGTCCAACCCAGCAGCATCCCAGCTGCTCTGCCCCAGGCGTCCTGATTTAGCTGCTGCTGGAACCCTTCAGCAGCGGCTGAATCAGGATGCCTGGGCAGAGCAGATGGGGTGCTGCTGGGTTGGTCCAGTAGCACCCCAGCTGCTCTGCCCCAGGCGTCCCCAAGTCAGCTTCTGCTGAAACTGACCAGCGCTGACTACAGGAAGCCCGAGGCAGAGTTGCTCTGCCCCGGGCTTCCTGGAATCAGCTGCTGATCAATTTCAGCAGCAGCTGACTTGGGGACGCTTGGGGTTCTTAAGTTGATTCTGTATGTAAGTCAGAATTGGTGGTCAGTTTCAGCAGCAGCTGAATCTGGACGCCAGTTCCGACTTACATAAAGATTCAACTTAAGAACAAACCTACAGTCCCTATCTTGTACGTAACCCGGGGACTGCCTGTACATGCAAATATATATGCAAATAGCTTATTTTACACTGATGGGCATGAATACAAAGATTAAGGCAAGACCACACAACACACAGGCCCCATTTAAGTTAGTTCTGCTGATATTAATAAAATTCAGTATTTACCCGATTTCCATCCATATGACAGCACTTTTAATGAGCAATGACAGTCCAGGAATTTAACTACTAAAATGCATATCAACAGAAGACCATTATATTGACTACTTTTTTGTTTTGGCTCCCACTTGCAGGCCACATATTGAGCCCTGTGTAAACCTAAAACACACCGTGGGCCGCAAACAAACAGACCATGTGTTGAGTTTCCCTGCACTGAGATGACATTTTGAATGCCTAGTATGCATACCCAGATGTGATCTGGTGCACTAAATTAGATGGAATTGTGTTTAGGCTCAGGCCTTTATTGTATGATGCTCTGAACCTCAAAAAAATGAGTACTTACACAGTACTGTGATTGGGCCTCTCTTTCTGATGTCCTTTCCTGAATGGTGACATTCCTGTAGAAGTTGGATGTGGTCCTTCAGATGCAAGTTTTAGAGAACTCCCTTATCTGGGGGCATTAATGAAGTGGGCAAACCAAAATAATCTTCCTGCCCTCAAAAGGGGCCAGGCTCACACTGCTGTTCTCTATAAGCCAAAAGGTGAGTAGTCTCAGGGGGCTGGAAACCCATGTCCCTTTCACTCACTGTCTATATATCAGGCCAACCACCTTGGGCTCTAAAGAATGCAGCAGAGCAAAGATAGCCCCTGTATTTATTCAGAGTCTCCTCTGTAGCTTTGCCGATAAGCATTCTGTGCACTATGGTCTAGCTCAGATTATGACATATTGCCAATCCTTACTGGGCTTGGATCCTCCCTTTTGGAGCCCCACCCCTTTTCAAGGTTGGCAAACTTTCCAGATTTGCTAGGTTATGGCTGATTGTGCCCCCAAGCATTCCTTATCCTCCTTCTGACTGAGTTGAGGATTACCCTACCACAAATTCAAATTATTCCTATATAGTATCACAAAATGGTTTTTTAGCAAGCATTTATTGATTCTGCATACTCATGGAAACAAAAGAGCATGAGACAGTTGCACATGAGCATTCAAGACCTTTGTTGTGCAAAAAATATTGTACGTCTGAAATCCCACAAAATGATTATGAATTTTAAACTACAAACCTGTTGAACTCTGATCACTTCTTGAAACCGAAGCTAAAACTGTCAATTGTTGACACATTTAAAGGGGAGAAAAGAAACTCAACTTCATTCCACTACAGTTTAAAATGGAAGTGTGACTCTAGTTGCTGGCCTCTCTTTTAAAATACATGATGGGCCAATGAGTTAATGGAGGAATCCGGCACAAGGAGTCCACAAATGTCCAGGCCTCTTGTTTCATTACTGGAAGGCTCTTTTTTCAGTGAAATGTGAAAAACAACAAATAGTCTTGCAGCACCTTAGAGACTAACAAAACATGTCACTAACCAAGGCCACTGCCCTGCCTACTGAGATGCTTTGGGATGCAGGTGCTTATCACTTAGCCCATGAGTTGATTTTTCCCCCTTTTCCTCAGTAAGGCTATCCATAAACCTGCTGCCCTAGCAGATCCTCTTGGAGGCTATTGCATAGGGGTGAGAGGAAAGGTGATAAACCAGGAAAGGTGATAAAGAGGACCCTAATATCAATAAAGCGTAAAGTAAAATGGATGTGTGGCAGAATTAAGATCATCAGGAAAAGTACAGTGAAAAGTGTTCCACTGGGAAGGGCTGTCTCTGAATCGCTACATTATTGTGGGATGCACTTGAAGCCTTTCTTGTTTTGTTTGAAGTCTTAGACGTCATGCCATTCAGTTTATTGACTAGCTTTTTTACTTGTAGCATTCAGTATCAAAGGTACTTAAATACCACAGGTTCTTGTTGAAAGGCAAAGTACGCTGCTTGCAATTGCTTTCCTGAATCTTCTAACTGCTCCTTTTCCTGTAGGAGCTTAAGAATCTGATGCAGTGACCCATAAGTAATTTTCTTTCCTTTTTACCCTACAGAAACAAACTTTTTCCTGAATCTACAGTTAGGAATATTATGTATCAGATCTTGCAAGGGCTTGCATTTATCCATAAACACGGTAGGCTGTATTTTGGCTCTAAATATTTTGAACAGAGCAAGATAATGTCTGTATGTTTGGTGTTAAAATAAATAATACAATTCCTCTGTTAAATGGAGTGATGGGTGCTAATAGGAGACAAGCTGTTGACTTTCAGATCTATCCCAGGTTGGGTTTGGTAGCCTATGATATTCAACAAAGCTGGCAACTTGTCCAGATCTTAATGAAGAATATTCCACACCACAAAACTACCAGTACAACTGGCACTAATGAGTGTCTTTATTGACTATCCCAGGAAAGCCCCCAAAGACTGGGCTTCAAGACTAAATTATCGTTTTGCCCCTCCAGGTGACTGTTTCAGGTGAAGGCTAAGGCATGTTGGTGAGACATCGGGACAAGAGTTGCACCGTTGCTCTCTGTGCTGTACCTATTCTTTGGACAAATGAGAGTTTTCATCTCCAGAGTTTATTACCTGGCACTTCTCCAGACTGTTACATTTTACACATACACGATCTAATTTATCCATACATTATTATACTTTATGATAAAATACCCTTCTGATAAATAGCTTTGATAACCTTAGGGTAACAGTAAGAACTGATTTCTGTCGTCCAACCTGCACTAATAAGACCAACCTAAGTAAACCACTGTCTGAATCAAGCTATTTTTTTAAATTTTAGAATTTACTCTTAATGTTTCCCCTAAGGATGATAAATTGCGGTTATTTGACTAGTCGAGTAGCTGGAGCTGATGGGAGAGCAGCCCCTGCCAACCTTACCATGTGGATGACACTGCAGTCAGTACGCCACTTCAGCTAAGCTATTTGCATAGCTGAAGTTACGTAGGCTAGATCAGTGGAGGAGGGTGGGGGAAGAGACTAGGGATGTTAGACAGCAGGTAATAGAATAGGCAACTAACTTCATGAATTAGTGAAATCCGTCCCCACTCCAGGCAGGAACCAGTCCATGAAGGGAGCCAATTTAAAAACCACCTCCAATTACGAACCAGCTGCCTGCTGCCCTGCACTGCTGCCTGTGATATGGAGGCAGCAGTGCGGCGTGGCAGCAGGCCCGGTCTGCGGAGGGTCCGAGCTCCCTATAGACAGACTGCTGGGGGAGGGGTGGGGGAGGCTGCCACAAAGCAGCCTCTGTCCACACTGGGCCCAGGCTAATAGAGGCGGCGACGAGCGAGGGAGCACCATGGACCCAGTGCTGGGGGGACCTGGCTTTTAAGATACAGAGGCAGCGGGAGAGCGCAACATGAGTAGTCGACAAGATTAACCAATAACCTAGGCTTATTGGTTAATCGACTACTCGTTCACATCCCTAGGAGAGACTATGGCCTATGAAAATTACTTAACATTCTTAGGTTTTACTTCTGTAAAATATGTCCTGCTAATGGCTTTATTTTCCTCCATTCACACCATTGGATCTCAGACATGCCCCTGAAAGGGAAGAAGCAATCTCTACCTGTCACAACAGGAAAATAAAATATTTTAAAACATTAATGTAAAATGAGTTGTGGACAGCTATTTAAGTCCTCATTGGTATGGCAAAGAAAGCACAAGCATGCAGAATATTTTGTATGTCTGTCCTGCATATTTTTGCTGTACAAAATATAACTAATTTGTTCTAGACAAACCAGTGTATTATGCTGATCTTTTGTACTCTTGATTGTAATAATTTCTGCCACAATGTTGGGAAATCAGTCACAAGGAAGTGTTGGAAGATTTTGCCACAGAGAAGGCAATATTTTAAATAGAAAGGTGGGGTAAAAATATTTAAATAAATAAATAAAATAAATAAATAAAAATATGGCCTTCTGGCTAATGGCATAAGACTGCAAGTTCTGAGACCTGGGGTCTCTCTCTATTTCTGCAACAGACAGACAAGTCACAATTCTTACTGTTATACCAATTGTAAAATATCCACATACTTGATATTTTATATCCGAGTACAGAAGTGTATTAATTTATTTTTCCGTGTTTCTTTGGTGTTTACCCAGATCTCTAAGCACTTTCCAAAGCTTAAAACCCACAAATTAAAAATGTCAATAAAAAACTTTAATCAGTTTTAATTACAATTTTTCCGTTAACCATTCCTTTCAGCCATAACCCGAAAATCCTCCTTCAACTTCCAGCCCCTCCATTTATGAAATCTGCTCCCATCCCTTCCCCTCTCCCCCCACCTTTCTAAATGCCTGCTAGAGGACAGGTTTTCCAGCATGCCCAGACGTTTAAGAAGTCCAGGCTTTGGCACAGCAAGAACGGAAACAAATTCTGTAGTCAGACTCATAGTGACCACTTTTCTACAATTCCCTCCCATTTGTATTCAGTCTAGCTCAAGTATCCCTACACCATGGCTGGGAAGCTAAATATTTGTGAAATGTTTAGAGAGCCTTTGATGGAAGAAACTCTAGTAATATAAAGAATCATTTTGTTTAAACTAGGGGAAATTTTAATATTTTTACCACACGCTTTCTATTAAAATTAAAACAACATAATGCTAACTATAAAATGGCACATCTTCGATTCCCATTAAAGAAAGATGGGCTGGAAACTGGACACACTGCTTGAAAAAAATCTTAATTTTTGTGTATATATCCTCCAGGGATAACTAAAATATGAAAACTAGCAAGGTTAAATTTTATTTCTGGTTGTTGTGACCTGCTGTTGGACCTCCAAAAGTGGCAACTGAAGTGAAGGAATCTAGATGGGAGTGGGTGGAGTATAAAGGCTACAAATAAATGTAAAACTGCAGTGCTAACTGGCATTTAATTTGAATTGCAGGGTTCTTTCACAGAGACTTGAAACCTGAAAACCTTCTTTGCATGGGACCAGAACTTGTGAAAATAGCAGACTTTGGCTTAGCTCGAGAAATCCGATCTAGACCTCCTTACACAGACTATGTATCTACAAGATGGTAAGTGCAATGTAAATGTTTGGCTATGTTTTAACTTAACCTAAGGATAAGGTTGGGTCCATAAATGCAGTGAATCAGATTTTTAATTTAGAATAATTAAAAGGCTTCAAAATGTGTAAGATGATGGATATGTAGACAAATGACAGTAGCATAGCTGAAGTAAATGGATATCCTTTAATCTCTTGTGCATATAAAGAATAGTCTCCAAAACCAACAGTGGGCCAGAGCCACCACAATTACTATGGAGCAATTGATTGAAAAGGCTATTCCGGTACTAGTAGGGCAGTCTAATTAGGTGGCAGAGGGGAAAACTGTCAATGTAAAAGCAAGCATGGAATTGGAAGATAAAAGAATCAAGTTTAATCAGATGCTCCTGCCAAATACTCACCAAATCCTAATAGATTACTCACATTCATCCTTTTAATCTTTAACAAAAAGCATCCATTCTTCATTGTCACCTTCCCTCATCATCTCATGCAGGTGGCTGAGGCAAAATCTAACATCATGCTTCAGCAGAAAGGAGCAGTATAAACCCATCTCTAAACTTCCAAATTTATTTCAACTTGAGATACAGACCCACAGGCTGGAACAGTGTTTTTCCTCATAAGCAAGGTTAGAATCTTGTCACTGATGACCAGTATCTTCAGTATAGCTTGTGTTCAGTCCTCTCTTTAACAAAAAAAACCTCACTGAAAATCAACTTTTATAAAAGCAATGGAAGTGTGAGACTTGACACACAACTTCAATTGCTGAGAATAAATCTGTATTTTGCACGCAGGGCTCCATTCTGCAATCATTGGCAACGTGGGAGTAAGTGAGCTAAGAATCACCTCACAGGTTCAGGCCTTCGGCTTTTAAATTGCTTAAGGATGTGCAGCGTCTAAGAAATATGGATGAATGTGACAGGATGAATTGAACATTCCGGGAACATTGTGTGGCTTCGAACTCTGACTCTAAAAGAGATACAATCTTGTATGTTGGGTGGGGTTTGCTGGGAATCCTTTAAAGGATGCTTTCTGTCTCCAGTGAGACAAAGAAGGAAAGATCACAGCTGTCCTACTTGAGAGAACCATGTTGTAGTACTTGTTTGATTTGTGAATGCTATAAACTGTTGTTTTTATAGGTATAGGGCTCCTGAAGTTCTTCTGAGGTCCACCAGCTATAGCTCTCCCATTGATATCTGGGCTGTTGGCTGTATAATGGCAGAGGTTTATACCTTAAGGCCTCTTTTCCCAGGTGCCAGTGAAATCGATACTATATTCAAGATATGCCAAGTACTGGGGACACCGAAAAAGGTAACTTAAGTGATAACTAAATCTTGAATGTGCATTGCTTAGTGCCGCAGTGATACTGTGCCTCGGATAGAAGAGAGAATTTCACTTTATCCTCATCATACTTATTATTTTCATAGCCTAGTACTGATCTCAGGGGAAAAATAACAAAACTTTCATTTTCTGTGAAGTCAATCGTTAAAATTTATGCCCTTGAAAATCATGACATGAGAGAGGAAAAAATGTGTCCAGAAAAGAAGAGTTTTGTCAAATGACAAAATTATTTAAAATTTCCAGTGTCCTCAGGCCCTTACTATGAAATTAAAGTCTCATTTACAGTTGGGTGCACACATCTGTTCTGGTTCAGTGGTAGAACAAATGGAAGACTTAACAGTCTTCAGCTTCCATGTCTGTCATTTATTTGTTGTGTGATCCTGTATGGCCAGTTTCATGGCATGTTTAAAAAATAGTTTTGTCACAGCAGTGCTTTGAGGTTAATTTATTTAGCCTGTAAAGAACTCAAAGACCATTGAGAGGTGTTCAAAGTGAACAGTATTGGCACTTAGACATCCGAGTTCTTTATGGCTGAGTTTTTCAGTGATCAAAATACTGATTCTTTCAGAACAACTGGCCTGAAGGCTACCAACTTGCAGGTGTCATGAATTTTCGTTGGCCCCAGTGTGTACCTAACAACCTAAAGACCCTAATTCCTAATGCTGGCAGTGAGGCTGTTCAACTCATGCGAGACATGCTGCAATGGGACCCCAAAAAGCGACCAACAGCTAGTCAGGTTTGTTTTCATTTTTTTTACTCTGTCTTTATGCAACTGTTAGCTACATTCACTGCATTTTACCTTTGCCTCACACTGCCATTAATTATCCTTCTGACTGTAAATTGAAGAGGGTGCAGACAAGAGTCACAGGAATAATTAAAGGTTTAGAAAACGTGCCTGATTGCGAGACTCAAGGAGCTCAAACTGTTTAGTTTAGAAAAGAAAGTGAAGGGGGGACTTGATCAGTCTAAACAGGATACATGGTCCAAAGGCTGGAAATTGAGGCTAAGGAAATTCAGGTTGGAAATAAGGTGTAATTTTTTAATAGTGAGTCATTAAACTTTGGAACAGTTTAAGATGGGTATGGTGGATTCACAATCACTGTCAATTTTAAAATCAAGATTAGAGGTCTTTCTAAGAGAGAGATGGTCTAGTTCAGACAAATTAATTCAGGGAAGTCCTATGTCCTGTGTAATTGAGGAGGGTTGACTAGATTATCACAAAGCTCTTTTTTGAATTTATCTATTAATTTAATAATAGAAAAGACTTGATTTTGAAAGTCAGAAAGAGCTGAGGGTTGAATCATGAGCTTTAAAAATTAATATGGCAGATAACTGATTAGTCCATTGACTTCAATGGCAGCTAAAGGAATTCAGTGCATGATAGGTCACTATGTAATGAAACAAGCATTTGGTGGACAAACCCAGCCTTAGGTCAGAGCTCCCTGTGAGTTCAGTGGGAGCACAATTAGACCAATATTTTGCACAGAGTCTTTCATGCAAAAATATGTAAATTTAAATTATGCAGTTACAAAACAAAATTTAGGAAGAGGGAAACTTGGACGGGAGGGCAAGATTAACTCTCTTTAGATAATTTAGTAATAATAATAATTACAAACAGAGTGCTTCTTGTGAAACAGATGAGACAAGATTGTAATGCAGTGGGGAATCTGTGAGGAAGAGAGATGTTAGAAGCCTGTTCTAGTTGGCAGAAGCTAGGGAGAAGAATATTTTTGCACCCCCAACAGCAGCTACTTAATTATCTGTAAAGCTGAGCACAACCGTTACAGCTACATGACACATCTTTTAAGAACTGGGAATGCTGGTGCCTCCCAGAATCAAATACAAGTTGGGCATGTGCTAGCAGTTTTTTTTCAATCACATAGTGAAGCATATTTATTGATTATAGTTTCACATTTAAGTCTTCATTTCTTGAGGATGTTTTTTCTCTTGTTTTCTGTGCACTGCCTGTGATCCTGACCAGTGCCTTTTGCACGCTATTGCACTACAAAGTAAATAACTGCATTTTGCCACAGTAGTGAGAAGCTAGCATGGAAACCTTTTTTTTTTTAAACTGCTTTTGCATTACATGAACAAGATTTTGCATAGAGGTTAAACCTTTGCTAAAGTTTATATAACTGCCGCTGGGCAGATTTGAACCTTGGGCCTCTGGGAGCTTAGTATAGGAGCCTTTGAGCTAAAACCTAGCTGGCTTTCAGCCCATGTTGTAGACGTTACTTGTTCTTAGGTATTGCTGTGGTGTAAGTGCCACTGAATGGGACAGCAAACCACATTAGGTGAGCTGGTTATACTTACTCTTATCTGCAAAAGAGAACGTATTGTGCCTAGTAATAATATCTCAGTAGTCATGGGAAAGAAAAAAAGGGGTAAGGTAACGTGGGAACTGTCCCCTATGACTAAGCTAAGTCAGACTCTAGCTTCCCCTATTGAATACTGTTGACTTTATTGTGTTTTTTAGGCACTTCGATATCCCTACTTCCAGGTTGGATGTGCCTTGGGCACCTCCCATTGCATTCAGGACCTGGGCAAACAGACAAAAGATCTCCATGATAAAATAGCACTGCACCATGTTAAACCTGTCCCTCCTTCACAGCCCCCTCCAAAGCCCCATGCCCGTCTCGGGTCTAGACCATTCCAGCAAAGCCAGTCTTCCCAGTACCTCATGTATCCATACAAAGCAGATTCCTCGGTGACTGACCATGTGACCAATTTAAGAGAGGACAAGCCTGCTCAGGTGGTTCTGCCAGCTCTTCGTAGTCAAGTCCCTCAGCAGGTGAGGGGGTGTCTGGGATAACTGATAGACCTGTTGATGACTTTGTGCATTGGGATTTGGGGTGTGTGGGTGCATGTTTGTACCTTAACCAACACTGCCATCTTTGTATCTTAATGAAAAGGAGAGAAATACAGGTAAAGATTAGGTTGGCACTTTTATCATGTTGGTATAAACTGGGAGCAGCTCCACTGAAGTAAGTGGTGTTTTTAGTGTAAAACAAATAGTTGGCCTTATTTCAAGTCCACTTTATGTTGATCTGGCATTGTAAAGTAGCCTTAAAGAAGATGTAACTGTAGCTTACTCACATCAAGCCGTTTCACAGTGGCAGAGTAATTTTGAAGTGGTCTTGGTGTAAATGACACTCAGGCCCAAGTTAGAAGAGAATTGGGCCCACAAGTATTTGAAACAAACTTTAAATTGTGCATATGCAAAACTGCACAAAATACAAAGAATCGCGAGGACATGAATATAAGAATTTGCACTTGCAAAATCTGTTAAGACAAATAGGCTGCACTGGTGCAAATTTTAATGTGGGTGCTGACAGTTGAAGTTTACGCACATGAATGTGCATGCAGTTTTAAACCCACATGTGGAGTCTGGGGCTAAAAATTCAAAATGAGCTGATGACTTTTTATAGCCCGTATAGTGAAAGAAGTATGGAAATTGAAGATGAAAGACTTAAGAGCTCCATACTTCTGCCATTACAGGACTTTCACCAAGACAGGTGTTCATACTATCTTCTGCATCTCCTCCTGTTAGAGATAGGGCCCTAACAAATTCATGGCTGTAGAAAACACATCACAGACCATGAAATCTGGTCTTGTCTGCTTTTCCCTATACTGTACAGATTTCATGGGGGAAACCAGAGTTTCTCAAATTAGGGGTCCTTTCTTAAAAGGCAACTGCAGGGAGATTGCAAGGTTTAGGGGGAGTCCCAGCATTGCCACTCTTGCTTTTCTGCTTGCCAACTGGTGAGTGGTGGCTGTTGACCTTGTGCCTTCAGAGATGGGCAGCCAGAGAATGGCAGCTGGTGACTGAGGGCTCAGCTCAGTAGGCTGAGCCACTGCCAGCAGTAGAGCAGAAGTAATGTTAGCGGTACAGCAATCCTGTCACCCAATAACCCTGTGATAACCCCACAACTCCTTTTTGGGTCAGGACCCCTACAATTACAATACTGTGAAATTTCAGATAGCTGAAATCATGAAATTATTTGTTGATGTTTTTTAAATCCTATGACCATGAAATTGATCAAAATGGATAAATTTGGTAGGGCCCTAGTTAGAGACCAGGTCCTCAGTATATTAAGGAGCTGGTAGGGGAGAAGGGGGGCTGCTGCTACAGCAAGATCACCACTCTTTGTGAGGAAAAACTGTTTTACTGCTGCTATGTATGACAAATGTTTTGAATTTTTTGTTTGAATAACAGAAAATACCAGTTGGGACTGAGAACACAAACGGTGAACTTAAACCAAAGACTAGGCGAAGATGGGGGCACATTACTAGAACAATGAAAGGTTCTGAAGATTGGGATGAGTTGGAAGACTTTGATTTTAGCTCTTCCCTCCCTAGAACTGATCTGAAAAACAAGAGGCGACAGAGTGAGGAAGCTCTTTGTAGGTAAGCTGATGTTTCCTCTTCTCACCCCATCGCAGCTAGTTAATTGCATTCATTTCTCCTACATTTCTTCTTGCTCCTTAGCATTCTCTCCCTGTGCTCTGTCTGCCTAGGTATAGTACTGGCAATAGATCATTTACAACTGTGCTCTCAGCTGGTTCTTGGCATTTTTTTAGTCTTCCGTGCTGTACTTTATGCTTGGAATGGCTTTTATTTTCTTCTGTTCGATTTCTGTTGCCAGCGTGCTTAGCATGTGAAATTTTTCTATGCCAGTCTCTCAAAATGTATCTTTACTGCTTTACAGCCTGAGCTGTACTGTGTGTTGAATCGGGATTCCAGTTTCCATGGGACAGAGTCAATGGGAAAAACTTAAGCTCCTAAAGGCTGGTCTGTGTTTCAAGCATTGCATTGCCACAGCTGCACCAATGCAGTTGTAGCATTTAAGTGAAGATGCTCCTATACCAGAGGTCTCCAATCTCTAAGAGGGGAGTGGGAAGGATCATTCTAGGGGCCATGGCTGAGGTGAAAAGGGAGTGACACCCAGCTCCCAATGCCAACCCCCTACGCACATTGATCAAGGCTCTGCTCCTGGCCCAACCTTAGACCCCTCCCTGAGTCCCCCTGCTTCCAGAGCTGCAGCCCTGCTCCTAACTCCAGGAATGGGTGGGGTACAGACAGGGGAAAGAGGAACATGAGGTAAAAAGTTTGGGGACCTCTATCCTGCACTGACAGGAGAGCTTCTTCTATCGACATAGTGCTGTCTACATGGGGGTGGGGAGGGGTGGGAGTTAGGTTGAAATAACTATGTCACTGAGGGGCATGGCTTTTTCCCCACTCTTGAGCGATTTATTTCTATTGAGTATAGGTCCGTGGTATGCACGTGACTTAAGGCATTTCTAACTGCACGCTGAACCTGGTCTCTTACTCCTGTTTGAGACCAAGCCCCTTTCTGAACTTATGCGTGCACATCAGTCTGATGTGAGTCAGTAAACACTTATAACATGAGTCCTAAGACTCTGCTGGGAGGGCAGAGGTGGACCAAACTGAGTCGCACTGGGACTTGGGTCCAACTATTGTCATTCTGCACTGTGGAATTATTTCAAGCCACTGACCAAAGGTCTGTGCAATACAGACTTCTTAGTATGTCTGTGAGCTCCAGGGCCAGCAAGTGTAAGCCCAGGTTTACAATGTGGCATGAACCTGCCCTTAGGCACTTTGCCAATGGTCTGCAATATCGTCTTTTATCTGGGACAAATAGTTTGTGGAGGTGAGGTGAAAGGAACACTCTGTGTGGAGCTTTGAGTTTGGGGCTAAGCATGGTGATTTCTCTTGGTACAGATTTGAAAGCATTTTGGATCTGAAGCCTCCAGACAGTCTAGGTTCGGGCAACAGTGCACCTTCCCATGTGTCCTTTCCACGGCAGGACACACCCACCTTGCGAGTTTCTGCAGCCAAGCAGCATTACTTGAAACATTCTAGGTATTTACCTGGTTAGTATAAAAATATTGACTTTTTTTTAATTGCGGTGGGAAGTGGTAATGGATACTTTGGGCCTCGGCTTCGGCTTAGAGCGAAGAGCTATTGCTTTGAAGAAAAACACTGGAGCGAGAGGAGGCTGCTTTGGTAATGGAAGGGTGCTCACAACAATGAGATAGAAATGTAGCTACGTTAGTCTGGCATAGCTGAAACAAAAAAACAGGACTATGTAGCACAATGAGATGGTTCTAGCATTCCAGAAACTGAGGAAAATCATGCCTGCTGGCATGCTAGAAAAGGATGATTGTGTCAGAAGCAGCTTCTTCTCATGCAGCCATGGACAGTGAGTTGTATGGGCTCGTGGTGCCCAGGCTCCACCAATATTTGGTGCTGGAGCGTTGTGCCATGCGGCTGAGTTGAGGGTTCGGAGTCTGGGGAAAGAGCGCAGACTCCAGCCCCGCAAACTGGAAGGTAGGGGAGGGTGAGGGCTGGGAGAGGAAAGGGCTTATGCGGAGGGGGAGGGGATGGGGAAAGAAAGGGGAAGACACCAAAGGGACAGGGTAGAGGAAAGACAAATGCCAGGGGGCCAAGTGCAGACAATGAGGAAAAAGGAAGGAGGGGAGGTGTCATTGGGAGCGGGGACAGGGTGATGCTGGGAGGGAAAAGGGTAAGGGCGTTGGGGGCTGGAGGAGGAGGTGCTGGGAGAAGGCTTGAAAGAAGGGGTGGGCATGAGGAAGGTCAGGATGGAGCAAGTCGTGTGAGACACAGGGGCATGAAGGAAATGGGGGCAGAGGATGGTGAAGGGGTGGGCATCAGGGAAAAAGAGGGCAAAGGGGGCAGGGGCAGTGAGGGAACCCTTGGTGTTTTAATGGAATTTTTGGTATCACTAGTTATGCTGTTTGTATTTTAAGATCTACGTCAGTCAGCTCAAATAAATTACATATAATGTATTGCATCATACCCAAACGTGCTCTAAGCCCTCACATATAATTAAAAAAGAAAGAGGCCTGGAACCTGTCCCCAAAAGTCTGCCATGTGCGCACAACTCTGACTTCAGTATAAGAGGCACATTACACAGTAGAAGAGGGTATTGTGAGAACCTTGAATTCTCTCCTAATTTGAGATCTTAATATTGGTAATCAGCATTTTATGCTGATATTGATATTTAATAAGAATTTACATTAAGTAGCATTGTTCACCCACCAGGATACCAAAGCACTCTTGTAGGATTAGGACAAGTATATAAATATCTAGATCCTTATTCTGACATGGACTCATGCTGACTTCAGTGAGATTCAATATAGTAGCAAGGGCCTAAATATGTGGTTATCTTTGCAGGGATAGGGCCCATGTAACACCATTAACAAGCAGCTGGTGTGAGAGGATAGGAAGTGATACAAGTATAGTAGATGCTGAACAGTAGAATGTAAAGAGATTTTTGGATAAGGTTATTGGGGCAAACAACTCCATTTATATACAGGTGCAAATCTATATAATGCATGTCTGTGAAACAAGGATTTCTTAATGGTTAATTCCCTGTCATTTCCCAACAGGGATAAGCACAAGGAATAGTATAGTCTCCAGTTCAAGTAAGGATTCTATTACGCCTAATCCATGGCCTACTTCTAGTTTGCCTGGAAAAGCTTCAGGTGTGGGAGTAGGGGTCAATGGAACGAATGCAGGTAAGAAATGGTGCTCTGGCGTTCTAAGAGAATTGTGAATGGGGTGAGAATTTTTGTAATGGCCTCCTAGTTACCCAAACCCAATTTAGTCTCCCAAAAGCCAAGTTGATCTACCCAATGTTTAGTATGACTGGAGGCTTGAAATCTAACCTGGTTAATATCATTTTATGTAGTCTCTGAGTTCCCTTGCCAGTTTTTTGTAAAATCATTATCTTTCCAATTTTTTCCCTTCTCCTTCTTGCCATGTAAACAGTTCACATAGTTGGGGAGAATTGACTGTATAGAAAAATGAATTAAACTGATAATATATTCGACAGCACTTTGTATGAAGTAATCAAAGAAGGGATGTAAAAAGCCCTTTAAAAATGTGACTGTGTAACTGTTAAAAATCCTAACGGTTACATGCTCTGCAGTATAAAATTTTATATATAAGCTTTATATTTCAGAGCCTGCAGCGAAGCCTCCCTGGGTATGTCTAGACTACAGGCTTTTTTTGACAGAGGCTTTGTCAACAGATACTGTCTACAAAGCCTCCGTCAAAAAAGAGCGTCTAGACTACAGCCCATTCTGTCGACAAAGCAAGCCACTTTTTCGACAAAGTCTAGATGCTCTCTTTTGAAAAAGCACAGTGTGGATGCAATAGGGCCTTTTTTCGACATAACTGTCAAAAAAAAGGTGTTATTCCTCGTAGAATGAGGTTTACCGCAGTTGACAAAACTGCCGCATTCTGTCGACTTACTGTCAACAGAACTCAGCGGTAGTGTAGACGCAGGTATAGTTTTGTCAACAAAAGTCCACTTATGTTGACAAAACCCTGTAGTCTAGACATATCCTCTGGGAACAGCTGCCAGCCCCTCATTCGGGGAGCCAGCATGTAACTGTAATGGAAACCTGAGAAGCTGATGCTTATTGATTAACCGTTTAAATGGTTGGTGTTACACCTTTATATCCTAAAACAATTTTTCTCATCTATTCTCTAGCTTAATTAATATTAAATGTGGGTTTCTGTTGCTATAGGAACTGCACCTCCCCAAGCAATGTGTATGCTAGCAGTTAGGTCATTGTAGATGTGGCACTCAGCCATAGTAGGGTTGACCTAACTTTCAAGAGCAGCCTAGGCCTTAGAGTGAGGATGCTTCCTGCCAAATACAGACTAGATCCACAGCTGGTGTGAATCCGCATAGGTCCATTGACTGACTTACTGACTTACACCAGGTAAGATCTAACCCAATTTTGAGTGTTCACCATTTGTGAAGTATCTTTGCAAGATCTGCAGTTAGGTAAGGTGTGTGCATGTGACATTGCACACTGACTTCAAGTGTTTCTTGTCACTTAAATTCTTTCAGGGCACTCAGGATCAAGCAGGTTGACAGATGGTTATATCCCTTCATTTCTGAAAAAGGAAGTGGGCTCTGCTGGGCAGAGGGTTCAGTTAGCACCAATTGCAGATCCGTCTTCTAGTAAGTATAAGTTTATGAGCTTGGTTGGTTGCTCATTTGGACAATAATGCTGTCTGTCAAACTCCATACTTAACATTGCTTGGACACACTTTATTTCATTGTGAAATATACTTAAGAGACCAAATAAGCAATGTCAGCCACGTTTATTAAGACGATACAGGAGAATGGCATCATATAAAACCTGTATCCAAAAAGCAGTTCTGTGCAGTGATGTTACATTCACCTTGCACAAGTGTGTTCCCCAAAATTACATTCCAAAAGGTACTATGCGTCACCTGCAACTAGATTCCCCCCCCCCGATACCATGATGTACCCCTTTATCTATTTGTTTTAAGCCCACATGTTCCAGATCAGAATGCATCTGGGTGGATGCATTCCAGTTTCTTAGGGGCTTGAAGACACCGCCTAGGCTTGTACCAGGATAAATAGATCTGTGAGGGTAAATCTGTTTTTGTGGCTATGAAGAAATGATTATATGTCCTGATATTGACAGTTTTTTCCTATCTACTTATGCCTATTACTTCAGCTAACACAAGGTGTTATGGGATACTTAGCCTTAGTGAATAGGATCATGGTACAGGCTAGTTTAGGCTATATTACTGTTACTAGATTTGTGCTTAATATATATTAATATCATGGGGATAATATATATTTTGACTAGAATTCTGGCTAGCATATATGTCATCACTGCATGTATAGAATGAATCCTCAGGTTTTATATTTTGACTTTTTGTAAAGAAGTAAGTCACTAATTATAGACCCCAATCTTGCAACTCTTATTCATGTTGCAGGATTGAGTTTATTCTGATATATTTAAACTGTTTATAAAATGTCAGTTGTACCAGTTAAACAAAAGCATAGCCTGTGCCCCACAATAGCTCCCCGAATGCACAGCTATTATTACCCCCCAAGTCTTGGTGTCACACACCACTGCTATGTCCGCGTAGGCCTCTTCTTCGTAGCCCCAGCACCTTCTTCACCCTGCACTGGGGCCTGCAACTACCCAGTCTCAGCAGCCAGCCAGGAGCTCCATTAGCTCTCCCTGTCTCTCCCAGCAGTTGCTGTGTCCAAGCTGCTGCAGGTCTCTCAGCTTGCTAGAGAAACAGGCTTCACTCCTTGAGCTCCAGCCAATGGCTAACTCTGTTTGTTAGTTCTGCTCTTTTTTTAATATATGTGGCTATTGGGCCCAGAATGGCTGTTCTTCACCGTCCCTATCCTATTGGCTGCTTCCTGCGCACCCCCATCCCCCCCAGCTGCTTTTAACCCCTTCTCTGCCAATGCGGGGGTGAATGCCCCGTACAGTGGGATTTTCAGAAGCACTGTAATGATTTAGGAACTCAGGTCTCAGAACCCCCACACTAAATTGTCCATTTATAGCTTGAGTAAAGGCAGAGTAAACACTGGGTAAAGATTCATGCTCTGCTCCAACTCTCCTCTACTGCTTTTATCAATACAAAGGGGCTGTAAAATAACCACATCTCTTCAACTTGGGATTCCTTCGTTATGGGGGACTGTACTGTTGGCACAAAGCCAGAGTAGTCCACTTTTGTATCACTCCTCCCTTGAGTGAAAGAGCTACTGTGCTCATTATTCAGTGGTACCAGGTAATCCTTTGTGGTCATAAAATCAGCAAGCTGCAAATTCGTTCATTTGCACCCTATCTTTTGCTGCATTCAACATATACCTGGCACAGTAGAGCAGTGGTTCCCAACCACTGGTCTGCAGCCCAGTGGCAGGCCATGAACCCCTACCTGCTGGGCCGCAGCACACTTCCAGGCCATGCCCCTAGCTGCTAATGATTTTGGCCCATAGGGGTTCTCCACACAGCAGCAGGGTGAGTGGCCTGGTGGGCAACCAGGTGTGCTGCGACTGGAACTGGGCCCACAGTGAGGCTGTCCCTACTAGGGCAGCCTCATTGTGGCCCTAGTTCCAGCTCTGTTGGCTGCTGTGTGGCCCGGCTGGCGGGGCCGCATGATGGGCTGCTGCAGTGCGTGGCCAGGGCTAAACACCATGGGTAGTCCAGCTGTCGCAGTGCTCAACAGGACTCCACATGGCACTTGACCCCAGCTGAGTGCTGCAGCTGCGCTCAGCAGGGGCCCAGCTGCCATGACACTCAGCTGGAACCAAGCGTCACATGGAGTCTGGCTGCAACGGCGCTTAGCAGGGTCCCAGTACACTGTGGGCTCCGTGCAGCCCTCCCGCCACACAGCGAAGTGATCTGTGCTCAGCTGGCAGCTGGAAGGCAGCGGCAGGGCTAGGTGAGGGGGGAAGGGCAGATACAAAGGCTTTGGGGGTGGGGCTAGTGCTGGAGGGGCTCTGGCAGTGGAGGGACTCTAAGAAGCAGGGGGGCTGACATTGAGGGGCACTGTGACATCCAGCATGGGGAGCTGGTACTTAGGGTGGCTAGTAGTGAGAGGACTAGAGGGGGCAGGACAGAGTTAATATTGGGGACTGGCATGAAGGACCATGGGGGAATGGGTGCAGTGGGGCTCTGGAAACATGAGGCTGGCACAGAGGTGTTTGGGGCAGAGGGGCTAGCACTAAGGAACTTTGAGGGCAAGAGGCTGTCACTGGGGGGTGGGGTGCAAGATGGGGGCAGGGAAGGTGGGGGAGGGAGGAGGGGCTTTAGGGGTTAGAGCTGGCACTGGGGGCTGGTGCTTTTTATACCAGGGACGAGCAAACCCATTTACAAACTCTTGGCAGACTGGCAACATTTATTTGCATATTTGAATATTCATTTGCATAATTAATATGCAAATAAAATGTTGCCAGTTCGCCAAAAGCTTGTGAATAGGTTTGCTGGTTCCTGGTATAAAAAAAAGCTGGGAATTGCTTCAGTAGAGAATCTGGCCTCAATAAGAATCTTGGCACAGCGCTCACCATATTATTCTACATCCTGATTTTTTTTTTTTTTTAAGAGAAAAAATAAAAAAATTGACACTGAAGTTGTGTTCCTGACAAAGTATCCCGATCCTATATCCTCAATCTTAAAAGGAGTAATTCCTCCAACTGAACCAGTCACTGAAACTATCTCATGGCTTTTCTTTTTCTCACCTGTAGATTACGTTTCTCTGAAGTCTGTCAGACCTCAGATTGGGCGACCATCATTTAATACACCTTCAAAGAGCACACCGGGATTAATGCCGCGTCCACCGCCAATTCAGCCAATCCATGGACGCACTGACTGGTCTTCAAAGTACGGAGCTCACCGGTGATTTGCAGAAAGTATTTTCTGTTGAACCAGTGCACATTTCTCATGAAGTGGTGACCAATTCTAGACCATTTGCCATGATTTTGTAAACCTATGATTTTTTAAAAGAAACCTTATCTTCTTTGAGCAAGACATTTGAAGACTTTTTTTTTAGTTGTATTAATTTGAATATAATCTTACACCTTTTTGTATAAAATTGTTTTGTTATATGATTGGGTCCAATTATTTTCTTAAAACTGATACATTTTGTATATCTGTCTTGGGGGTTTGGGCATTTTATATGATAAACTTTGTAATGAACTTGATAAATTTAATATTTTCCTTTGTCAGGTCCAAATATTTTATACAAGTAAATAAATGTAGCAGACTGAGGCAGTATTGCAACAGAGATGCAATTTTCAGAAAGGGGCATTCACCAAATACTGTTTGTGATCACGTTACGTTCTGATTGGGATGTATGAGGCAAGGCCATCAGTCAGACTGAATAACTCAGCTTTATTTTAGCACCATGCTGCGCCAGCTGGATGGTGCTAAAGTGCAAAGTCAACTGCTTTGGGCTGACTTAACACGAATGCCTGATATTGCTCTCCTTTGGGAGGTTGTTTGATTTAAGGCCCAATCACAGGCTTATCAACCAGTTTGCTTTAGCTTTTGTTGGTGTTTGTCTGAAAATGTTTCTTGCCTGTCCGTTTTGGGACCTGTCCTACCTACAACCCCAAGGCCAAATCCCCACTAACTTCCCTGGGAGTTTGGCCTGAATGAGGCCAGCAGGATCAGGCTGCTAGTTTGACTACATTCCACCTGTCTTTCTAATGCTGTCTGTTTGAAGAGTATTTGGTGGGTTTTTCTCATCTGGCCTGAAGTGCCACTTCAGGTTTAAGTGTTGTTGTTCATGCTACATAGGGGGCTGTTCCTATTTAAGTCAACTATAACATTCTTAAAGACTTCTATGAAGCAAAATCAAGCCCTATTTTTGTAGGGCAGATAGGAGTTGGAAAAATATTGGAGGCAATATTGAATATGACAAAGCTGGTTCACAGGCAGAATAATAGTATTTGTGATGCACCAGCAGCAAAGTTAAAAAAATTATATATGTGGCTGACTTAATTTCTATGGCTTTGTTTCCAGCCTAATTCCCTTTAATGCATCCAGATGCTGTTTTCATAGACCAGTAAACTTCAGTTAATAGTTACAGTGCAGATTTACCTTACCGCCCCATATTGTTAATTCTCAATCTCCATAAATAAGGTCTTATTGGCTATTTTGCTATCGTAAGCATTTACAGTCAAATCCTGGCCCACTGGTCTCCATGGGAAAATCTCAGTTGATGTAATTGAGATGGGATTTGACTGGTAGAGGAGGGAGAGAAGTGACAAGCAAAAGAAATGGGTTACTGACAGGAAAATAGAAAACAGTGCAGATACAATGTCTTCTCCATTCTAAATGCTTAGCTTAAAAAAAAACCAAGATGCATTGGAAAGGGACACCTCCCCCTTCTTAGCAAAAAGGTACAAAGAGGAAAAACAAATCTGTCTTTTACTATACAGAAAACCCTCCCTGATATCTCAGTGATAAGGGCTTGGTAACGGCCTTGTATTCATAGAGAGCCTGATCATCCACAGGGATGCGTGAGCCCAACCCCAGTGCATCCATGCTGAGTGCCTCTTCTTTGCACTCAGACCCTCTTTCCTCCTGAGTTAACCTAGGGCTACGTTGCTCTGCAGCTTCCCCCATCTCTACCTGCACACTGCCTCGCCTTCCAAAGGACAGAAGCTAAATTGGAAAATACATGTCCATGTATTTATTTTTGCTGGAT